AAGAGGCAAAAAAAAAAAAAGAAAACGAAACGACCGCAACAACTCAATTGACGGCAGCCGTTCCCGCACCACAGGACCAAACAGCCTCTTAGGCGGATCGGAGGCTTGAGTTGACAGCAGACGCCATCTTGATCGCTGGCGATTTACTGCTTGAGCCAATTGAGCGGAGACGGTCGTTACATGGAGCGTGAATGCTAATGGTTCATGAAGTCTGTCTGGCTGCTGATAATCAAGAGGACTTGAACGATGCTGCTAGAACTGAAGAAGTCGGGAACTTACAAGCAAAATTTGACACAACTGACCGCTGGCTATCCTTTCCTAGTCTCAAGGTAGCGATTCGAAGGACTATATAAAGATGAAACAAAAAGGCAAAAAAGAAGAAGAACGACTGGCCGCACCGACTCAGTTGACAACACCATCCTGCGTCAACCCAGAGACCTTTCGCGGCCTTATGAGAGGACCAGAGATTGGTGTCGATGGCAAACATCATGATTATTCTTTGACGATTTACTGCTTGAGCTAATTGAGCGGATGCGGTCGTTGCGAGAAACGGGAATGCTAATGGTATATGAGCTCTGGGTGATTTGCTTGCTATTCGTAAATCTTGGGAGACTGGGATCGGTTCGAAAGCTTGGAAGTGTTAAGGACATAGCCAGTCTTGATCGTATACCAATCTTTGACCCAGCTAGGTGTCTGAATAAGAGAAAGCTGTCAGGTGTAGGTTGTCTGACAGGTCAGCGACGAGAAGGGCTTTTGCGAAAGCAAAAGATTCATTGCCCACGTCATTCGGTCAGAAATACTCTCATCGAAAGGCATGAAAGGATGCCTCTCTAGAAGCACTCCCTTCCGGTGATCTACGTCGAATGCAAAAGAATTTTGTCAAAAAACAAACCACATCTGCGCTATAGCTCTAAGCGGCGTATACCACTTACGAGCGAGCACAGTTCGACTATCTCGACAAGTGCGTACAACGTCTTCCCGGAAGCAAGCGTCAGAAACCTAACGACTTAATGCTTGAGCTAAGGGGGCAGATGTGATCGTTGGCTGAGAGTGAGCAGGAGGTGGGATATGAATGCTGGAAGGACGAGCTTAGGCGAGTGAAAAAGAAAGACAGAAAGAACGGAAGAACGAAAAGCAAGATGGACATGAAACGCAGGACGATCGGCTACGGGTGAGTAGATGAACCAAAGAGATGCATCAATCGGAAGTGGTAAGGCAGTGTCAAGTGCAAAAGAAGCAAAAACAATCCACATCTGCGGCGTAGCTCTGGACATCGCCCTCGAGCCAAGAGTCTGCACGAAGACTTGAGGCGAGCATGCTATCCAGCTTCTTTTGCAAGCGTCAGAGACTCGACGACTTACTGCTTGAGCTAAGGGGGCAGATGTGGCTGTTGGATGAGAGCGAATAGGGGTTGAATATCAATGCTGGAACGAGAAGCTCGAGGTAGGTGAAAAGAACGAGGAGAGATAGGAATCGAGAATGGAAAGGGGCATAGCGGAAGCAAAAAGGTAAAACGAATCACATCTGCACTATAGCTCTACATTACACTCCAGAACACCCTCGCAAAAATACAGTCATCCTCAGGCTTGGGTAACAGCTAGCGTAATCACACAAGCGCCACGATGCTAACAACTTACTGCTTGGGCTAATTGTGCAGATGTGATTGTTGGAAGACAGCGATAGGTGAGTGAATATGAAGACTAGAACGAGAAGCTCAGGTGAGCCAAAAGACCGAGGTAGGACGGAATTCAGGGAGGATAGGGGATGTTAGAGGCAAAAAGACAAAACAAATTACATCTGCACTTCAGCTCTGCGATCGTGGATTTTCTGGCAGTACAGGATACAGATGTCCTAAACCACGGACAATAGCCAGCCTGAACACGCAGGCGTCACAATGCTGACGACTTACTACTTGAGCTAAAGGGGCAGATACGATCGTTGGATAGCAGAGATTAGAGAGTGGATACGAAGACTGGAATGAGAAGCTCAGGTGGGCAAAAGGAGAGAAGAGAAAGGGTATGCAAGAAGGGAAAGGGGATGTTGGAGGCAAAAAGGCGAAAACAAATCACATCTGCACCAGAAGCGATTAGCGGTCACCCTTCTACGGACACCACACGTTGTTCAGAGAGAGAGTGCCAGCCAGCTGTATTGATCAAGCATCAGAAGACCTGACGACTTACTGTCTGAGCCAAGGAAGCAGATGTGATCGTTGAAGTGAGACAGAGACAACGCGTACATCAATGCTGCACCCTCGGGCAGGACTGATCTAAAAGAGTAGCGATATACGGAATCGGAAGAATGGAAATTGGGCAACAAAACCGAAGCACAACAAATCACATCCACACTATTAGGCCGGACCGCTGACACACTGGCCTAATCAAAACGCAGATTGTACTTCGATAAGCAGGCGTGTATGCTAGCTTTACTAGCAAGCGCCGATTAGCGTTGATTGATGACTTACTGCTTGAGCTAACAGTGCATATGTAATTGTTGAAGCGACACGAAGACAGCCCGTATCTATACGCTGCAGGTCCTGGCAGGTTTGCAGTAAGAGGGGTCCTGCACAGAATTGAGGAAGCGTATACCTAGATGCAAAAGGAAAATTGAGGCAAAAGACCACAACTACGCCCTGTAGGTTCTACTTCTTCTAGGAGAACCTAAAGACAGGATAACCTAGATAGAGTAGGCAGCTTCCAAACAAGCGTCAGCGAGTTAACGACTTACTGCTTGCGTTCAGGAGGCGGATGTGATCGTTCAGGCACAATCAGAATGACTCGTACTTGAAGCTTGCATGTTCTGTGTTCTGCAGGCAAGACCTGGGCCAAAGGGTGACGAGGACGAACTTCAAAAGAAAGCAGGGGACCGTAGAATACAACAGGGAGGCAAAACGAAGCGAAACGAATCGCATCCGCTCTCCCATTGCTATCAAGATGGACTCTACCATACATGCTAATTAGCATTCGAGTAGGGTCATGCCATAGCCTATAGGCAAGCGTCAAAGACATTAGTTGACGACTTACTGCTTAAGCTAAGGAGGCAGATGCAACTGTTATGCGACTCGGAAACCGATCCGTATACAACCCTTACGGGGCTTAGCAAAGGCAAAAGATAGAAGAGGAGCACGAGGAGCAGAAGAGAGTAAAGTTGGAATCGAAGGCATCCAATACGAAACGTAAAAGCAACGATTCAAGCAACAAAAAACAAATCACACCTGTACTGGAGCGGAGGCGTCATTTGCGACTTCGACAAGTCTCGGGTAATACACTTGTCTCAGATCACAAATAACCAGCCGTCCATTCAACAAGCGTCAGCATTCTCCCGATGACTTACTGCCTAGACCAACCGTGCAGATGCAACTGTTGAAGACGCCTTCAAAGCAACTCGTATATCAACTCTGTAGGGAAGCACCAAGACCAAAATGAGCAACAGGACCGGCAAAACATATTATCGAAGGGAGTTTAAAAATCAAGAAGGAGAGCAAAACAAAGCACACCCGCACGATTGATAGACAACTTCCCTCATCTGGACAAACACTGTTATCGAGTTGAGCAAGGCCAACTAGACCAGCCACACTGGCAAGCGTCAGAATTTCCCTAACGACTCACTGCCTAGACCAACCATGCAGATGTGACCGTTGAAGACACTGCCAGAACAATCCGAATATCATCCTAGCATAGCCATGGGCAGCAAGACAAAAAGGAGCAACACCACCAGCATACCACCATCGACGATAATTGTAGACAACCCGCAAATAATTAAGAATGAGTGCAAAAACAAACCACACCTGCACGATAGATAGCCGAAGTGTGCGATCTCTGAAAACTGTTATGGTTTTCAGCGAAGCCCACTAGATCAGCTATTTAAACCAAACGTCAGCAGAACCTGACGACTTACTGCCTAAACCAATCGTGCAGATGTTACTGTTGAAAACACCTTCAGAGCAATCCATATATAAACCTCAGAAGACCAAGCATGAGATGGAAGAACATGTTCGGGAAAGGACCATTCTCGATGTCCAAAAGAATACAAAAGAGCAAAACAAATCACATCCGCACTCTAGCTGGTGACAGGACAAGCATGCCGCTCATCAAATCTATCGTCGATTTGAACCACATCCGCCAACCTGCTATTTGAAACAAGCGTCAGACTCTTCCTGATGACTTACTGCCTAAGCCAACTGTGCAGATGCGACCGTTAAGAACACCCCCAAGACAATTCGTATATCATCCCTACCATAGCCATGGGCAGTAGGAATTAGCAAAGCAAAAGGAGGAAAGCGTTCTAGCATCGAAGACAATCAAAGACGAGCCGCGAAAAAAAAAAAACAAGAATGCAGGCAAAACAAATCACATCCACACCCCCAGCTAGTGGCTACCTTGTTCCAGGACGTTGATGGATGCGATTATCGATTCCGACGAACTAGTAGCACGAGACAGCCAATTGAACAAGCGTCAGACTCTCCCTGACGACTTACTGCCTCAGCCAATCATGCAGATGTGATCGTTAGCACCAACAACAACACACCATACATAAAGCCTATCAATTCGCTGTCCGAGTACAAAACCAAAAGAGGAGAGAGACTGAAAAGCCCCCAAAGGAAAAAAGGCATATGAAGGGCAAAAGAGAAACAGAGATAGGTCTTCTTAGCAGCAAAACAAATCACACCCGCACCTAAGCCGGCTGTAGTGTGCGACCTTGACATGGTACGAACCTACACATCGGTTCCTGCCAGCCAGACCGGACGAGCCGAATCAACAAGCATCAGCAGCAACCTGACGACTTACTGCTTGTGCTGAGGAGGCAGATGTGACTGTTGGAAGGACGATAAGCTGAAGGAGATATGAATGCTGGTCAGGGGTGAGCAGTCTGAACTGAAGTGAGAGAAAAATCTTACCGGGAGAAGATGAACCTGCATGGCATCCGCCCAAGTTGAACCATTGCAGAGCCGCAGAAGGTAATGAGACGATCCTCGCTTGAACTTGGTTGGTAAATGCAAAAAAGAATATCTTTCGTTGTCATATACTTCGCACATACACACACAAATAATCTTTCTCTTCCTACAGGTACAAGAACAAGAACGCTCTCACGCTGTGTTTCCCCTCTTCCCTCTCTTCAACCCCAGAAGCTGTTGGACTCGTCTCTGGTCGCTTGCCCTCTCATTTCATGCTTTCAGTCTCTGTTTTTGGAACAGCCATTGCTTGCTCGATCTGGACCACACATATTACAGAACATTTTTCGCCTTCCGTGCCTTTTTCTTACACACTCGAATCCGTCCCCGCCCTTGCCGTCACCGCAGCTCGCCGCCCAGGTCCGTGATTTGCGCCAGTCGCTAAGAGAATTGTTTCCGATTGTTCGATTGGAAGAAAGTCGTAAGCCAAGCCTGGCCAGGACGCGATTGATGTATTGTTGCTGAAAGGAGATCGTTGTATCTTCACTCCGTCAAGCACTCGTACAAATAAATGCAGCCAAACACCAAGAATGCAATCGCGCCGCCGATAGTGACAACCCTCATAGACACTCGACCTGCCAGAGCTCGTCCGCCAATGACTGCCACACCGGTACAGCACGCGTGTCCAGCGATGGCGCCTAGCGTCACGAGCCAGTAGTCCTGTCCAGCAGCCATGGCAATTGTTGCGATCTGACTCCTGTCACCCCATTCACCGAGGAATGTCATGATGAATGTTTGCACCCACGCGGGACTCAGCACCAGACTGAACAAGTTTTCCAGACCTGCGCCGCCGCCACGCCTGCTGGGAGGAGAAGGACTTCTCGACAGAGGAGGTGAGAGCTCGCCTTTGCCTCTCCCTCGCCCAGCCTCGATTTCGTAAGCGGATAAGCTGTGATCGCTCTTGCTGTTGCCCCTCTTTCGCATACTATGCTCCTTCTCTTCCAATTCCGCCTCGACTTCACGTAGCTCTTCTCCGATGCCAGCATCCTTAGGCATCTCAAGCCCCTCTTTCAAGCTCTTTGCGCCAAAGACGAAGAACAAGATGGCCGCGGCGAAAGTGGTAAATTTCTTCGGCAGGAGCGCGGGGAAGGCGTGGCCGAGGACGGCAGAGAGGACGGTCATGGCAATAAGAGCGGAGATGGCGGCGCTGAAGACGAGTAATCGGGCGTGGCGCATGGCCATGAGGGCAGCGACGAGAAAGGTCTTGTCGCCAATTTCGGAGAAGATGATCATGGTGAAGGAGAGACCGAAGGAGTGGAACCATTCGTGCCATTCCATGTCTGAAGTGGACTTGGAGATGGGTGTGGATGATGAAGGGGTGGAGCTGCCGCTGCCGCTGTTGCTGTTGGCCTTGGGCGGTTTCAGGTTGGTCTTGCCCTCAGTCTCTGGCATGGTGTCGACGAGCCATTTGTCCCGGCCACCTCCTGCGTTCACTGGAGGACCAAAATCGTCACTTGTGCCCGTTGTAGGCACTTTTGCATCGGGATGGGGAATGTTGTGGGGTTTGGGTGGAAGGTTCGCAGGCTTCTCCAATCCGTATCCTGAATCGCCATAGTCGCCTCCCTTTTTCGCGCCTGCTACCTTCTCCCCTGTGATAGCATCAACTGCCTCCCCAGATAGCCGCTTCTCCGCATCAACACTTTCAATATGCTTTTCCTCACTATGTGGAAGTGGAGGCGCCTTTTGTGGCATCTGAGGTGTTTTCTGCTCGGCGACAACTCCCTCCTTCTCCTTGCGATCCTTCGTCTTCTCGCTGATGCCGCCTTCCGTCCCTGTTGTTCCCTTCTTCGGCGGTGTTCGCGTATCATCGTTCATGACTCCATCATTCTTCTCGGGAATGTCCTGGCCACCAAAGTTGCTGAGCGAAGTAGGCTTTGGCTTGGGACCAACAGCAGCATCGCCTTTTGCCTTCTTCGAGCCATCTTCGGCAGGGCGATCCACAAAGGGACCTGCGTGTGGCTTGCCATCCAGTCCATCTACAGGCGCATCCTCTGTGCCCTTGTATATCCGAGTCGATTTGGCATTGGGTGGATTCGCAGCAGCAGCAGCATCGCCGGCGGCCTTTCGTATAGGGTCTGCACCTTTTATGCGGTTGAGGGACAGGATCTCCTCGTTGGATAGGACCTCAGTGCCCTCTTTTGCAGCGGCATTCTGGGCTGCAGCCAATGATGGCGCAAGCAATAGTAACAGTGGCGACGCTCGCCGGAGCCGCATTGTGATGAATATGTAAAGGAGATGTAGAAGAGAAAGGTCGTCAGGAGGAAGGAATCCTCAGGACGGAACCAGCAGTGCCCAAGGAGAGATGCAGCAGACTCGGTAGTGCCCGTGGCACGTCTCGCTGACGTGGGCAAGTCGGAGGAGAGTGGTCGGGAGCCGCGGGCGAGGAGGAATGGAAGCGCGCAGTGGGCGGCGGTGGTGGTACAAAGAGCGGAGGAGACACGACAAAAGATGGGCAAGTGGGCGGTGGTCGAGACGTTTGAGAAAGAGAGGTCGCAGCAGCTGCGGCAGGCATGTGTCTGTTCATCACGACCATGTCACTCACCCGCCCGCGTTCAGGGGATCGCGCATCCTGCTTGGCACTACCGCCGCCTCATCCGTTCTCGCGCAACGTCTACAAGATTGCCAATACGGAAGGATGCGCGACTTCCAATGCCATGCCTCGGCTCGGTCCTATTGAACCCCGCGGAGGAGTGTGACAATTCACCAGGGACCGCAAGAGCGAGAGTGGTGAAGCAGGAGAGCGGCAGGAGAACAGTAGTTGGCAGCGGAGAAAGGCAAAGAAGGCAAGCTCGGCAGGGCTGTGAAGAAACGCTGCGTGACGTTGCTGCCTGAACGACGCTCGTTGCTGCCTTAGCCGCAGCTCGCCCGCTCTGTTATTCGACTAGGGTCACGCACCCTAATCTCGCTCCAAACAACTCTCACCAACACTCACCGCGCCGCCGTCGACGACGAGTCTGTCGGACGGCATAGTTTGAGGCAGTGCGCCTGGCTTGCAAATTGCTGCATTGCCATCAAAATGGCCAAGGCATACTCTGCAACGGCGCCAGGCGAAACGACTGCAGCTCCCCCTCCAACGACGCGTCGCACAACGCGTAGTCAGAGCGCAGAACCCCAACAAATCGAAAAGACCAATGCAGGAACTGCGAAGAATGGTGAAGATGCGTCCAACACATCGGCGAAGAGAGGCGCTCGTCAGACGAAAACAAAGGATGTTGTTGAAGGTACGCTTGTAGTAGCGAGTGGTTTTGAGCTGATCGGAAGCCGGCCGCCGAGCGCCGTTGTACCCCGAAGCGAATATGCACTGACTGCTGCCCCAGAACTGCCCACTGTCGACGAGAACAGCCTCTTTGTCGGAGAAGATGCCGATGCCGATGCGGAGGCCGAAGAGGACGTTGATGCACGCCTCGACGAGCAGTTAAATGGAAGTCCTCGTCGCAACTCGATTGGCTCTGCCTTCTCCGGCACAACTGCAAAGACGTCTTTCTCTCAGGATGAGATTAACAAACTTGATCATGAAGTCATCTGCGATGTCTTGCCAGACATTCTCTCTGCTGCCGAAAGATTGACGCAATTGCTGGTGCCGAACGGTGCCAACACGCCTCCTGAGACATGGAAGGAGATCAAGCGCAGTGGTTCAAAGCATAACAAGCTCTTCACAACACGATGGGAATCGTTACGCATCCACAAGCCGAGTTTGACCAGCGTCGAATACATCGAGCCACGCTATGTGCTACGTGCTCTGTTGAACGTCGCATCTATGGCTGAGGTCCAGCCTGCTGCGTGGCGACCTGACAATGTGCTTTACAAGATCAATATGGCCCTCATGCTCCGCACCGTGCTCGTTCAGTGTGATCCCGCAGACTGGACAGAGGAAGCCACAGGGGCTCTTGAAAGTCTGGATATGGCATTCCCAGCATGCATTGCAGGCGGCGAATTCAAGTTCGCTGCGCTTGATCTCTGGCTGGAACTTGCTGCACATGTGACTATCCACAGGCTGGAAGCTGCCATCGAATCTGAGCCGAACTTCTCTGCCCACGAAGAGATTGACAATGTCTTCTACGACGCAGACAGCGAATTTAAACATGCAAAGACTCTGGGCCTTGCTTCTGCGAATCAGGAAGACTTCGCGCGGGCAATGGAAATGGTTAACCAGCGCATCAGTGTTCTCAAGGAGCCATTTGGCCAGGACGACGGAAAGGATGCAACTGCGGCCAACGGATATCTCAAAGCGCAATTCCGCTGGGACGATTTCCGATCACATGCCTTGCGTTACTTTGACGCGCGCATTGCAGAAGTGAACAATCGCATCGAAGCTGCCGGCGGCGTACAGACCATCGTCTCTGGTCTCGAACAGGAAGTCGAGCGTCGCGCCAGTGAGAAGATCGCTGAGCAGATGAAAGGCACATACAAGAAACCTGGTACTCCGAGGCAAAGCCTGGGCGGCAAGAGCGCTATCGCTTTGCTGAAGGGCCATGAAAAGCGCCTCTCTGACCAAGTGCCGGCAGCTGGAGCTCCGGCGCCTGTTGCAAGCATGTATCCCACAAATGACACGCTTCAGGATAGCGATGTGATTACGCACGACTTTGCCACAGGTCAGCGATCTGAAGTGGACCAAGACAGCTTGGAAGGTCCGACCGAAGTACAGTCCACAGCACAGCAAGCACTGGCGAGCTTTGCAGCCACGCAGAAGCAAAATGCGAGGAAAGCTAAAGCACGACTGCTTGATCGACAAGAGAATGCTGTGCGAGTCAGTAGCGAAATGTACATGGACTCTCAGACTCAAGCTTCGGCTGCGACCGGAAAGCGAAGTCGTGCGCAGATGGAGGAAGAAGTGCCTGAAGACTTCGACCCCACCCAGGACGATGGTTTCGAAAATGATACCCGCAACCATAACGATGCTGCGCAACGCCGCGCAGAAGTTGCCTTCCAAGAAAGAGCACCGCAACGGTTCCCTACCATTGAGCGTCGAAGTGATGCCGACGTCGGCCCCTCAACCCACGAATGGATCTCAGGCACCGCTCCCAGCCCATCCAAACGCCAACGCAAGAACCCAGGTTCTGCAATCCCACCGCCTCGCCCAGCACCCGCTCCGGAGGACGGCGAACTCCCAATGAGTGAGTTCTACAAGCAAGCCAAGCTCGACGCCAAATACAACCGCGTTCTCGCTCCAGCCGCCCCAGTCCGAACCGAACGAACCCCCTGGTCCGACGAAGAAGAAGCCGCGCTCATCGATCTAATTGTCGACCACGTCGCCGACGACGAGAAAATCGGCTACTCCAACCTCAAAGCCATCGATCAATCCCTCGAAGAATCCGGAGAAGCCAAACTTTCCCGTCGCTCAGCGGAAGATATTCGATTCAAAGCCCGGAATATGAAATTGACTTTACTGTTGGCTGAGAGGAAATTACCGAGGAATTGGGATAAAGTTATATTGGATAAAAAGGCGATTGATCGCTTGGCGCAGAGGGGGATTCCGTATGATCAAGGACGCAGTCGAGCTGCTGCGAGGGTGAATAATCCTTTGGGGCAGGCGAGGCCTAGGGCGAGTGTTACGCCTTCGCACACGCCTGTTTATTCGCATAGTCCGGGGGTGAGGTATGAGTCGGGAGGTATCCTATGAGGACTGGGCAGACTTCGGCATGTACGTGGCGAGTGTCCGTGGAATAATTGTTCACGCGATTGTATGAATAATGAATTGGGTGGTGTTTCTTGAGAGTGAGGGGGAAAATTCTTGGATTATCAAGTGAGTTATTTCGTATCGCAAAAGTCCAACAGATTACGCTGGTTGGTTCCCACATACTGTACGAAGCAGACGTGAGGTTCGTAATTGGGCCCTCTGTATCCCTTTCGATACTTTTGAGGCCGCCGAATGAGTTCATCACACACTTCGACATTCCGATTTCTCTGGTAACACGATTGGTCGAACCAGATCGGCAGGTTATGGTGTAAAGCTACCAGCGATTAAATTTCTAGGCACTTTTTTTTCTCTCTTTTCTTCTTCTTTGGATTTGGCAGATGGTGTGTACATATATTACCCACCTGCTGCTGATATACTGCGAGTGACTTCTTCGTACCGACTGGAATCGTGTTCACTGCCCTTGTCTCTGCACATCTTCTGCCAACCAAGGCATTAGATCTCCGCCCGCCTCAGAAATGGCAGACTCCAACCCCAAGAGAACTCGCTCCCAAGCTTCAGGTGCAAGTAATCCACCAAAGAGAAAGAGAAAGCCAGCATCCTACCCAATGCCCAAGAGACGCAAGACCACACCGAAGAAGACAAAACTCCCCTTCATCCCAGCGCCTCTCCCTCCCGCCGCCGAAGGCCTCCAACACGCGGTTTTTGATACCACAGAACTCCTCGAGAATATCCTCGTCCACCTTCCAGTGGAAGATATTTACAAAGTACGAGAAGTAAACAAGTACTGGAAAGAAGTCATTCACACTTCCCCTTCGATTCTTTGTAAATTATTCGTCAACATCCAAGAACCCAAACGAATCTGGACGAAAAGTTTCTCTTCCTCATCGGAGAAATTCAAACTCGCTCCTTCAGCTCCAGCTCCAGCAGCAGGAGGAGGAGGAGGAAGCAAACCAACAACAACAAAATTGAGCCTTGTCGAAGGATTCGAAATCCGCGAGAAAATGGGTCTGGTTGGTCACTTACCCATCCTTCTGAACGGATTAGAAAAACTGAATCTCCGACCCGTACGCTTGAATCCTTTCCTGGGAATACTGAATTGTCATATCGCGTCCCAGCGCTCATGGGCGTCACATGAAAGAATGACAGGCGACTGGGTGGAAGAAGTGGAGGTTTCTTTTAACGATGTGGATCGACAGCGATGGCGGGATTGGATTGGAATGGAGGATTCGTTATTCATGTCAGCGCAAATTACGGATCCTCCGACGAGGAGGGTGACGTTTAGTCAGAGAGTACGAGGGTGTGTTTCTCATGGAGAGGGGTGTGCGGTGGAAGCGAGGGTGGATTGTGATTTTGAGTGTGAGGAGAAGTTTTGGAGGCGAGGGGGAGGTGTGATGATGAAGGATGTTTTTCGGTTGTTGGGTTTGGGGTTGGGGGTTGGGAGGGTGATTGAAGGGAATGAGACGATTACTTCGAATGAGATTACGAGGTTGGGACCGGTTGTGAGGTTTGCGAAGATGAAGGGACATGATTTGCGGGATGAGGTGCAATATGTTATGAGGTTGCATTCGAGTGTTGTGCCGTCTGAGGAGGAGTGGGCGGACATGGAGAAGGTAGAGGAAGGGAGAGCGGAATAGATTATCGCGTCGTGGAGTGTCGACTGCCGGAGGTCGCGTAGAATGCCTTCCAAAATCTGGTCATGGACCGGCGGCTGTGTGCTGATCGGAAGGACGAGATGAAATGTTGTGTAACATCAAGCGCAAAGCCCATTTTCGATTTGAGAATTCATGAGGCTGAGATCGTGTGTCTTCGTCTTTTTGTTCGCGTGCGCGGAATTTTATGAAAGCGTGCGTTCGTTTACAGGTTTGCTTTCTGGCGGGCATTCGAGATTCACATGGAGGAACGGTCGACCGAAGGTAGCTGCGCGATGCATTTTCTCCAAGGCCGCGCTGTACTCAAACTCTTGCAGACTGTCTGAAAGCTGCCTCGTCTAGATTTGGAAGGGTTTCAGTAACTTAGTCAGTAGTTCGCTAGCGTTAGTTAGAGATAGAGAAATGGTTCGCGCCAAGTCCAAAGACGCATTTTCGAAAAACTCCTGCAGCTCCAAGTTGACGACCTGTGTTCCAGTGGTGTCCGATCGTGGTGATGCCCGATGCTTGTAGCTCTTCAGAGCTTTCTTTTCGGACGCCAGCTGCTTACTCTGTTGCAGGCCATTACGGCGTGGCTTTGTGCGCTCCACAAGCTGGTCTCGGCAGTCATGCACCACTCCGGTTTCGCGATGATGACTGTGCCAACAAGGCGTGCTGAACATGGCATGAAAGACTCAAGTCATGGCCAACGACAGAGGGCGAGCAGTATATGGAGTGGTCGGGATCCGAAAAGTGCAGATGCATGGGTGGTGCGCTCGAGCGGCCAGAAGCTCGGCACGGAGATTCTTTTTTGTGTGGTTCAGGAGCTATCTGCTGCCACCGATCTTCCGGCCCATGGGGTTGGCTTGACTTCTCTAGCTGAGGCAAACCAGGGGCCGAGAAGGTAAGGCAATCTGCGGCAGATTATGTGGTTTGCGTACTTCGGCGCGCGTTCCAGCGTGCCAATTGGAAGAAAGGGAGGCAGGCGCAAGGTTCCCAACAGCTCTGCAATTCACCGTGGCGTGAGCTGTGCGGTGTGCGAGAAGCTGTGGTGAGTCTGTACGAGGCACAGGCAGTAATTCGACCGCCTGTACCGGATGGCGAAAGAAGGAAAGAAAGGATGGGCACGGTAGGGCAAGGCAGCATCGATACGGTTATGGTTACAGTACAGTTTTGATGACAAGATCTTTAGATGGCACAGCATGGCAGATACGAAGGCCCATGTCAGGAGAGGCTGAGATGAGGTGCTCGGTGTTGGTGCTGATCAGCGATGTTGTGACCTAAAATTGGAAGGGGCACGAAGGGGAAGCTTCGAGACGCGTGCCTGCTGCGCTGGCCGCAAGTGGTCGTCAATAGACGCTCTGCACGTGACACTGTCATTCACTTGTCCGCGCCTTCCGCTGTCCAGCACCACCATGGCTGCGACTGCTATTTTCCACTAAGCAACTCGAGCAGCTCGCATATCGTGCATCTCGCCAGGACAGGACAGGAGAAACTGCACACGGCGAATTGAAGAGTGGTGTGGCAGCACAGCACAGGGGCGACGGACCCGCGGCACTGGAAGTGTTCGAGGGAGCTGACGACCAGGGTTCCACTCGGTGCGCAAGCCACACAGGTCCCTGGGGGCTTGGCTCGGCCATTCCTTCTTAAGCCTGCCACTCACCCGCGCTTTGTGGGAGGGACAGCTGGCATCAACTTCCATCCTCTAGGCGACCGCTTTCACGTAGCCTTGACAATTCCCACCATGGAGCCCGCCATCACCGCCCTTCATTCCTCTTCACACAACACCGACACCATGTCCGAACCACAATACCTCAAAATGGAGGACGTCCATCACAGCACATCGGCGTCGCCCGCCCCCTCGGCAGCCACCGACAGCGCCGCCTGGTCAACATCATCACCCGCACCCATCGTCGTGCAATCAAAACCCACGAAGAAGCGAAAGTCATGGGGCCAGGCATTGCCCGAGCCCAAGACGGCGCTACCACCTCGCAAGCGCGCGAAGACCGAGGACGAGAAGGAGCAGCGCCGGATAGAACGCATCAAGCGCAACCGCGCTGCAGCTCACAACTCCCGCGAGCGCAAGCGACAAGAGACCGAGGACCTCGCCGTCAAGCTCGCCAAGGCCAACGCTGAGCTCGCCGCCTTCAAGGCTCACTTCGGCGAACTGCCATCACACATCGTTCTCCCTGAAGTCAAGGTGGAAGTCGACGACTCGGGCGTCATAACAGCCTCCGCAGCCACACCAGCACCTTCACTCACGGAATCACATGGTGAGCACCTTGCTGCCTGCTATACCGAACGCATCATACTGACTCATCATAGGCTCGCAAAAAGACCCAGCAAGTCCAACACCACCCGCCGACGACCACGCATTCCACCACATTAAGATGGAACCCCAAGACATTCCCGTTCAACTCAACGTCCCACAATACGAGGACTCGAAGCTGTCTGCTCTCACGCCGCTCGACCTGACACAACATTCTGCAGCAATGTTGTGCAATGACCTGCAGTGTCGGTCGAGCCGCATGACCAGCAGTACGGCTTCGGCAGTATCGTGGACCCATCTTTTTTCTCTGATGAATTTCAACCTCCAGAACTGCTACAAGACACTTCTAATAGCTTTGTGGACAACTTCGCCTTCGCGGATGGAGCGCATGATGCAAGCATCAGCGGCTCGCTCTTCTCGTTCGATGAGTTCCTCAACGTCAACGAAGATTCGCACTTGGCGGTCGACGCCCAGACGTCTGGCGCGGTCTAGTACTGCGACGGGTCACAGCGCACCGCTTCAGCGCGAATCTTCTACTGACAACGAGAAATCTCAGACTTCGACTAGGGATCAGAGCGCTATGAAGCGAGCAGCGCGTGCTCACCAGAAGGGACAGGCGGCGTTAAAGGATAGGATACCATCAAATGAGGGATTAGCGATTGGGAATGAGGGGTATGAAAGCAATGGCGTTGCGGACGGATGACTATCTCAGCTTGAATCGGTGGTATACTTTTGCTACTGCCATGAGCGATGGACTACGTATGACTTTTACTGTAGCCATGAAAAGCTCTTTACGTTTCATGAACCATATCTTCTCACCTTGCTCACCGCGTCTCTTCACCGCAACAGTATTGCTACCACTGGGTCTTTGACCCTGATGCAACACACCGCTGATGATCTTCAGGAGGAGATCCAGACTTTTGAGGAAGAGACGAAATGGTTCGTGCGTCACGTGTAGCGAAACTCTATCTTCTTCGGCACGCTCCTTCTGTTCTCCGCTCCTTCGCGTCCTGTGGCAACTTCATGTCTTCAGACTCGGAGAAGAAATGATGGACTTCGAACGTCATTTGCTTTCGACAACTCTGGTCGAAAACGACTCAAGAATTCGTGACTAAGCGCTTCGGATGGCCCGCGATGTGTGATGTGCGACGTGCTGGAAATATATCGGATCAGGAACTGGGATATTGGTCTTGGTCTTTGAATACTGCGCCTCAACTTCAATGATATTTCTCCCAGACCCGAACCAACGCACAGGAGGGGCAAGTAGGGATCTCGTCGCGATCGAAATACACAATTACGGGCTCGCGGTTGGACTGCTCTTGAACACGAGACGGCCAATAGGGAGATCATCCGCTGTGATCAAGAATGAAGAGCTATGAGTAAAGATTTGCTGACATGCAAGACGAAATATATGACTTCTTGGTCTCATGTTCGCTGGGCATTCGTGGCTTATACTCGGATTCCAAGGCTGTCATTATTGTATTCATCGTTCTCATTGCTCGTACGATCTATTTCCAGGACCTTGGCGCGCGGCAGCTTAGGGCGATGATGTGGTTTTTTTGCCATTGCCATCATTGCTGCTATCTTGAGTGATGTTTTGGAATCACGTCCCTGTTGGAACGAGAGGGACACGGGTTTAATCCTAATTCTTGGACATTAGCGAAACGCGCTCGCCGACTCTCCCGTCCCGTTTGGTTCGATGGCTTCTCTACGGGCGTTTGCCTTGCCTTTGAGCTCTATAGCATGCGACAGCCCAGGTTCCCGGTTTGGGTAGAAGGAAAAGCTGTATATATTGAATTGTATTCTCGTAGGCACTCGTCGGATGGGTATAACATAGTAGAAGTAGAGACAATAAGTAGGAACTAACCGAGTTAATTATATTAG